TTAAGTCGATAATTATATACAAGGGTTGGTGACATATATGTATATTCTGATAACATCAACGTTCAGTTTCATTGGAGTCAGATACAATTTTCCCATTATTCTTTTAGATTACAACCTAACTTCTCTAATAACCAGGATTTTTGAAAGTGTTACTGGTTCAGCATTATTTTTTTTAACAAAACAACACATTTATATGATATATAACAACAGTTGAAGTAAATGATACTATCAAAAAGAAAATGATTTAAAATCTATTTGAAGTAAATACGTAATTTTACATTCATTTATATAATCAACAACTTAATTTGATTGACGTTCTGAAGTATTGAAGCTTTTTTATAATTAGGGATTACAACAATATGCTAAATTAAATGAAGAAACACTTCTCTATCTCGTATGTATTGTTTGTAGTTTAAATAATACTTTTATGTAAGTATATGTATATACCTACATAAAATATGAAAACCATACATCAAATACATCATTTGTACAGCTTCCATCAGTTATTCTTTATATGCTTTATGATTCATTCAATCCTGTTTTTACTACAATTATTCTCTGTTTTCTTCAATTGAATCTTCCCAATCTTCTACTGGTATGCATTCCACTTACGAATGGTGTTACATACTACTTGCATCTGTCAATATAAGTAGCATACACATCTATACATATATAATTAGAAAAGAACTCAATTCACAATGTCACTCGTCATATTCTTTTTCATGGCTTTTACTTGCTGAGAGTTTGTTTGTTCAAGTGCAATATTCAACTGTTTTGACCAGAAATCATTTAGTCTTTGTTTACTTTGAAAAATCCAAACTTCGGTCCTTTTAATTTTTACTCATATAATTAGATACTGGTGATAATAATGTTTAGTATTAACCAAAAATAAATTATTAGGTTATCTTTAAAAGAAAAATTAAATAATCTTGTAATGTTGGTGAAAGCAATAAAATATGAACGAGTGTTTATAAAAATTCCACAGAACCCTACAATAAGGAAGTTTATTTCATTTACCGAAGGTAGAAATCAAACAGAGTTTATTGTTTCACCTTCTACCACTAACTTATTACCATTAGCCTTATTTCTTATCAATAAGCAGATAAAATGAAATGTTTTTACGAACACGTCACCACCCTAGAAATAACTAATCTTATCAACTTGAGATTTTATTGAATGTATATGTCAAAAGTTGGATGTGAACCCATTGATTTTTATAAGAATATTCACAATCGAAAACTGAATCCATAAGAAGCTTGGTTGTGCCTTGATAGAATCATTTTATGTCTTTACACATCTCTCAGTTAATTTATACTTTCTGCTCAAATTCGAACGTTAGATAACTGGTTTATTAATAATAATTGAATATTCTCGTTACCTTACGACTTACTTCACATAATTTTCTTGTCATATATAAATACAGTGCATAACTCGTAATTCTATTAGAACTCCCAAATCTCTAAAGATCGGTATTCTAAAAGGACAAACCAATAAAATAACATATCACAATACATTGTCAAGGTACGTTTTTCTTTTATTTTGCCATTAATTCGAATATTTCATTTGAAAATACTAGTGACTGACTTCAAGAGGCATTTCCTGGAGTTCCAGTGAGAAGCCGTTACCAGTGGAGTTCAACCGTATCTGTTGTGAGATATAAACTCACTGAATACAATGGTGTACGGTGGCGCAACCACGTGGATTGGTTGAAGTTGGATATTAACACCATTGGATGCCGGCCAGCTCAGTGGTCTAATAGTTAGGCGCTCGCGCGCAGGACTGATAGGTCCTGTGTCCGAATCTCGCGGGGGGCAGGATGATGGATGTGCACTACTGAGGAGTCCTATACTAGGGCGAAACGGTCGTCCAGTGCTTCGAGGTTTGCCGTGGTGGTCTAGCTTCAATTGACTCATGATGTGGACTGTTGAAATTACTAAAATGTCCACAAAACCCATCCTGATAAACCGAAATATGTTGAAACTCATGCGGTTAATTTTCATATTTTGCAACATTTCACACTCAGCAATATTTACTATAATAATTAAAATGACAGTAAATCCCCTGTCAATATCGACCTGAATTGTTGAGGTACTTCTGTTTTGCATTTCATCTGGATTCACTCAAATCCAAGTGTTAATGAACACACATACAGAGACTGATCATAAGCAGTTCAGAATATCCATAACAGCATAATAAAAACCAAACAATTGTAAAAAGCACAACCTAGAAACTTCAATCACCTTATCTTATTTCTGTTATCTTCTTCTAGAATTGTTTAGTTTCGAAGGAAAATTCATGTTGTTAACATGAAATTTTCTACTTTACATAATAAATTTTTTAGATAACACTAATATTTTCAAGATTTTATCATTTTTATTGTCAACAATTTCAACATTTGAAAAATGGTTTCCAATGTCAATCAAAATGCTATGTTTGAAGTGATTATGATTTAACCTAGTCTGAGAATGGAACAAAGACTCTGTGACCAAAAACCGATAAGCTAACTATTCTGATGTGTCCCAGCCCCGCTAACTAGACAGAGAAGTCCAAGTTCGAAACGGGGAAATATATTCCGCAAGCAGCCAGAAGCACGAGCGATTTTTATAACTTGTGGCCTGTGTGCTTTGTCAATGTATAACGTAATGGTACCGCGAATTAGAGAACAGTAAATTATCGATCGAACCAATGACGCATAAAACCCGCGCGAGCAGTTTAGAGTCTTTACCGGTCCTACTTCTCTTCTAGCCCTGCCTGTTAAGTCCAGAACAAAAAACTCAGCCTCTGCTATATAAATCATATATTTCAGTTTAGGTGTTGTGGAGATTGTTAAGTTTTTGGTTGAAATCATGAGTCAATTGAACCTAGACCACCATGGAAAATCTCGAAGCACTGGACGGCCGTTTCGTCCTAGTATGGGACTCCTCAGCAGTGCACATCCACGACCCCGCCTCCCGCGAGATTCGAACCCAGGACCTATCAGTCTCGCGTCAGGCGCTTAACCAACTAGACCACTGAGCTGGCCGGCATCCAATGGTGTTAATGTCTAACCTCAATCAATCCACGAAATTGCGCGACCATCATCCATTGTACTGAAGTAGAAACAGGTGTCTACAGGAATATCGTATGTTATACAGAATAAAATGTCATAGGGGAAAACAAAACAAATACTATACTGAGTAATCACCAAATTGAATTAAACGGAATTAATGTTGAATATAAATCAAAGTGAGTAATCAATCAACTCTTGACTTTTCATCCCGTCATAGCACAAAATTACGTATTATAATATACCGTTTGATGTTATAGGGATATATCACAAAAAATCTTTAACCATTTCAATAGATGAATTATATTGATTAGTTTTTCAACCACATGACAACAATCGATAAACAGTATGTGATGGATGCTTTATAAAGAAAATAATAATTATGTTATTCTTTGTTTATTCAAAATAAGGAACTATTTGGTATTACAGTAAACAGGTTATAAATGTTTTAATATGTCGACATTTCAATCAAGAATTGTTCTAGTACATATTAAATTAATAACAAGAATTTGGAACCAGGGTAGTATAGTCTAGTTTTAGATTACGTTCGCTCAGCATGACTAAGTTAACAAAACATGGTAATTTAAGGATGATAGGTTACTTCTATTATAATCAATACATAATTCATTGAATATAACGCTTTGTTGTTTTGCAATTAATCTCAGATATTCGTAAACGGACTACAATGAAAATTTCGGTGTTTCAAAATACTTATTCATAAAGTATATAAATATTTTGTCTAGTAACTCTGAAGTCTATTTTTAAGTTACATAAGCAACTAACAAAACCGTGTGAAACTCTTATTATTTTAAATTCAATGAAACAATCGAATCTAACCTGTTAATAACAATCATATTAATTGTTGGTGATTAAAACCAATATTGATTTTTACAATAAGTTGAAATGGATTAAACAGATCTAACTACTTAGTGTTTCATCTACATTATCATAAATTTTTCAATGCAATGAGAAATGTAACAAATATCTCTTTCATACACATAGTTCCCTTTATCATTCATGCTATTCTGTTAGGATGTTTGTTCTTGCTCTTTTCAAAATATCTCTTTCATATTCAGATAACCAAAATGACAAACATTTGATTATTTTGATTATTAAATCAGTGTAATGAAAATCACTTGAAATCTTTATTTAATTATCTAATCCATAGTCAAACAATTTACTTATTTTATCAACAAAAGAAACTATAACATTCTTAGTAAACACACAGATATACCGACATTCTAGTTGCATGAAATCCAAAAGGTGATGATAAATTCTTGATCCATTTTCAGGTATTTTAACATATACAGTATTTGATTATTTCAGATTTGTTTATTTACAGCCAAGTTCTTTTGATTGAATAAAAGGATTTCTCTTTTAGGTTTTTATATCAACTGATTACATGATCTTCCTTAATTTCAAAAGAAAAAAACAACAAAATTTTTCATTCAATTTACGTGAAATAGTTTAATATAATTGAAATACCTTTTTTTGACAGGGGATGAAAATAAATTTTTTATACCGTTTCTTAGTTGTTGATATTGTCATCGTTGTGTAGAGAATTCAAATAGTGTCTTATATTATTAAAAAAATATTATTTTCAGTTTGGTTGTTTACACTGTAGATCACCAACGTAGATGATCTATGTCGAAATGATTGGAGGCCTACTTGAGTTAGACGTGAATGGTGTGACAAACTAGCTAACGTCGAAGTCACACCTCGTGGTCAGCGCTTTACATGGACTACCCCATTGACGTATCAAGGTAACATAGATGCTTTGAAGACTGTACAATACAGAGGACGTTAATACAGAAATATATTATTTAAAGAAGATGCAATCGAAAGTAAGACCACTGCCTCATGGGCCAGTCCATGGCATACGATTAACTGATGCGCGTTGGTTGTCCTTGACCTTGACGAGGATCGATGATTTGCTCGATATTCAATGACCCAACTGCCGGATGATTTGGCTAGGGCTTAGTGACATTTCGCTGGCCCTACAGCACTTTAGTTTGTTCATTCTATAGTTGTGTTTGAAAAAGAAAAGAAAATGTAGGGAGACTTAAACTAATATTATATCATGGATGCTTAGTGTTGAGGTGTTGTTGTATGCTTGATCAAAATATTTGTTCAATGCTCTCTGGGGTTTTTACCAGTAGTTAGCTAAAATCAGTTTGTAATTCAAAACTATGAAAATCCTACAATCTTCATAAATCCTACTATATTGAATCTATTATTTTGCTATATGTAAAGAGATCGATGTGAAAATTGTGATATAGGAAAAATTAAACAACTACATTTATAAGACATTACATCACAAATCAGAAAAACACTGGGAGGGAATCATATTAGGATTGTTGATTGTATTATTTTATGAAATATCAAACATCTAATTCTGTTGTTCTTATACAAACGATAACGCAAATATTTGAATATTAGATTTAAACTATAAAAATCCTTTAAAGTATCTGTGACTACATTTTTAAAAAATCGAGATTAAACAAAAGGTATTACGTATACTACTTATATATTTTAAGTGAACAAGTAAGGATGAGTTAAATTTATTGAAAAAGTATCAATGAAATAATCAACGAAAATCAACCCCAACTCTGACTCTAATTTGGTCGTATAAATGATTGTTATTAAAAAATACATGTTGCCAAACCTCATATATAATTGTCGACTTAAACCACGTTTGTGAATAAAGGAATTCATGGATTTACGTATACATATATTTTGTACATTCATTGATTTGGACAGGCAATCAGCGAGATAAAGAGAAGAGAAGAAAGAGAAGTGAAATGCGCACAGTGGAGAAGGCATGTGAGCCACGTTAATTTAGCAAAGTGTTAATCAATATTTATAGTCTATAAGCTATAGATATGTGATGAGTAAGATAAGAGATACATACGCACACGCTTACATAAAAACAGTTAAGGTTGATAAACGAATACATGATAAGGTCAAAATGTAGCTTGAGAAGACTGCATATATTGGTTTGTCCAGAAGCTAGAATAAGCTATGTGGGCTTAACATAGTAATTGGAACTACAAATGAACTGGAAAATTAAGATTGGAAATCTGAAATGAATATTCCCTTAAGTATGATACATGTAGCGATCGAAAATCAAACGATATTTTTAGATTTTTGATGATACAACTAATTAGTGATAAATGAAAAGTATTACAAAAACCATTTGTAATACTATCCATTATAGTTTAATTATTAACTACAACATAGAATACGAATAATTCTTGTACATGGTTTCTATGCTGAAATGTTTCACACAAATCTTGTTTTAAATTATTATTCAGATCATAGAATTTTTAAAGTAGCAAATATTGATATCACCTACATCATTATTTATTTATTTAAACACATAAACATTGGTACAAAGGACCACCAAATACATATGTGCCACACAATAACAATGAGGCCAGTAGCAGTTATCATTTGGTTTGTGTGTGGGCTGGGATACTGTCCGGATGATCAGACTGAAACAGGTGCTTTTCTTACGAACCACACCCCATACATACCTACATGATAAAAGAATTATTATTTCGTTTGGAAATAAATCAAATTGCTTTTATTTGTGTAACTGCTTCACGATTTTAACAAGTAAATTGTCTACTTTTGTACAGTTTTTGTGTACAGCTTATCGGAATACTGATGTAAATGACAATTTTTGTTTTCTTTTTTCACCTCTGTCCGTTCACTTACTTTCTTGCTTCGATTTGAGCACTCGGGCAGTATCACAGCCTACACACATCAAATGAGATTTGTGTGGCGCATATGTATTTGGTGCCTCATTGTACCAATATCTATATGTTAAAATAAATAAACAATAATGAGTTCATGTAGACTGTTGTAAAAGGTCCATAAAATGATGTTATATATAATCATCTAAGATTAAAATAAGTAAAGAAATTGTCTACAATATTTACAACAATAAAGATTTATTGCAACTATGAACTGGCAGATTTAAAATAAAAAATATTAAAAACGAAATTCAAAATAGTATAAAGAATTGCTACACTTAGTTTTAGGTGAACTATATTGACATCGTTACTTATTAACAGTGAATTAATTCTTTTGAATGTAGTCATAGAGACAATATTATTTTCTTTTATTTGATTTAATTAAATAGTAGACTGTCAGAAATATATATTTAGCTTAAGATAGGAAATGAATTTTGATGAGGTTATCTCAATACTAGGATATTTCTATTTGGGAGTGACTATAGATAGACTATAGATACACCTGCGATCATTTATTCTAACTACTTCTAAAAATATCTATTTATATATTTTATTACAATGTCTATCACTGTGAATAATGCTACCTGGAGAGTTTAAAGCGAACTACATTTGATAGATATTATCTATGTTGTTCGTTCAGTTTCTTCGTTGAATATATTCCATATTGAAATTTAAGGTCAAAATTTAATACTATGAAAAAGAGAAATTAAGAGTAGTAAGTAAACATATTGTATTGAAAACAACAAAACGAAGCGTGAGTTTCTTGATTAATGTAAAAATATTTATCAACATACATGACGTAATCTTTATAATCAGAATACTACATTTAGCTTAGTAAAAGCTTTGAAACAACGCGTTTTTTAGTGTATTTACTTGGTATTGTTTGGCTTGTATCTTCCCATTGAGGTTTAAGACTGCAACTGATCAGTCTGTTATTGGCATATGTGCATACTGTGTGTATGCTTCGATATTACCTTAATTCACAAGCTATTTGTAAGCAATGATGGATAGTGGTTTATTCTAAGACATTTTGTGCCAATTTACATTGGTCAGTAGTAAGGAATAAAAATTCTTTTATTGAATAGTTATCAATAACCTGGATGCTTCATTTATTGGTCAGAAACCATTCAACTGATGTATGTGCTTAACAATTATATTGGTAATAGAGTGGAAAGTTTATACAGAAATAATTGATAATTCCATTTATTATCAGAATGAGTTTTGTGGAGATTTTAGGAAATTTCACAGGTTGAAATCATGAGTCAATTGAAGCTAGACCACCATGGAGAACCTGGAAGTACTGGACGGCCGTTTCGTCCTAGTATGGGACTCCCCAGCAGTGCGCATCCACGAACCCGCCCCCACACGGCGGGATTCGGACCCAAGACCTACTGGCTTCGCGCGCGAGCACTTAACCATTAGACCACTGAGCCGGCATCCAACGGTGTTCGTTAGCCTTAATATGTTTTAAAATATAAAGTGTGTTAAATAAAAACGTAAAAAATTGTAACTCATTATAACTTATTAGATATTTGTTTAGTAACTTAATTCAAAGTCTTATTTAAGCTTATTACTGATCATGATGTATTTCATTTATATTGACATACTAGTCAAGTAAATGGAGAGATTTACCCTTGAATTTTTCTTCTCTAATATTTATTTAGAAATTCTAAGGAGTATTTTCATTGAATAAACACATAGTAACCAGTTATTTGATTAAAAAAGGTTTTGGAAAAGAATGTCAAACTATTTGTTGGTTATTTTTTGTACCATTATCGAAATTCAGATGGTATCGGATCATTATTTTGTTCTGGCTAGTTTTGAAAATTACTTTTGGTAGTCCAATATTGTCAGGCAGTTTGCTTGAATATCTGGGCTACCCTTTCTCGCCATCTGAATATTTGTTTGCTCTAACACATCACTATGCCTATTAGTCTCATAACCTATTCAGGTGCGTTTGTGAAATGCTTACAACATTTTGCTGTACAAATTACAAAACAGCCCAATCAGAGACATTATAGTTGCTGGCGATATACATCGAAGAGAATACACATTATTCACATATCGAATCCTGAACTGCTAACTTCTGACTGGCGACCACACAATAGTTATCACAAGGATCGACCAAGAAATGAGAAAAAGAATCTTGTTGAAATACATTTGTTGAGAATTCCATATTGTACTAAAAATATAATATTGAATATAGCCACTAATAATAATAGTAACAATATATGTTACATTCTATGTATTTCATCAAAATGAAATCGAGAAATACAAAATGCAATGACTAAAATTTTGACAGAATCAAAACGTATTTCTTTTTAGATAAGTATTATTAAAATTAGTGTACATTTAGTGCAAACAATAAATAGTTGGATTAATGAATTAATCAAAGGTAGACCACCATGGAAAACCTGGAATCATTGGACGGCCGTTTCGTTCTAGTATGGGACTCATCAACAGTGCGCATACTAGATCCCGCTTAGCGAGATTTGAACCCAGGACCTAGGAACGATTAAATTACTACAATCTCCACCAAATCCCCTTCTGATAACATGCAATTAATCACATTTATTTTCTAATTAAATAAAATTTTCAAATGTAAATTTTGTTACTAGAAGATTTAGAAAAAATTTTTTTTAGTTTCATTGGTGCTATGACATTTGTTTATTGATAACAAATGTTTCCTTAAAATAAACAGAATAATTAATCCATTCAGATGTTATATTTAATTATGATGATATTTTGTCTTCGAATGATAAGTCATTCATAATTACATTATATTTCATTCAGTATAATTATTCAGCAATAACAGTGTTAGAACATAAAATACCAAATGACTGAAGCAGTACGTGTACAAAAAAGACGTAGAAAGTGATCTTAACACAATTAGCGTTAATGCTAATTCACTGTGAAACTAAAGAAAACGTTTTCTTAAATCAATAAGCGAAAGTAGGATGACAGAATAAATTGGAATTTATATAAAATCTTATTATATAGTAAAGCTTAGTGGTATCGACATTTAGGTAAATAGAAATCGACTCTACTATCAACAAATAGACAGATATAATGCTGCTAAGTCTACGAGTTAACATGTATATGTATCCATACATGGATAGGAAAGTACACAACTTAGAACTACAGAGTAATGAGACAACTATGCTTTTTTTACCTTGTTAATCCACGATTAATTTTTGATATCATACTTATCATTTATAAACAAATATGAATTATTTGCAGGTTTTAACTTAGTTTCAACTTGGTGTTTAAGAGAGGAAAAAGATATGTATCTAGTCTTATTAAAACTGTTCGTATCCAAGTTCCAAAAACATATCACATATATATTTACAAAAAGTTGCTATTCCGATGAACTTTAATTGATATATCAAGTGTCGTTCTTCATTGATTAGTTTACCAATCAGTTCCCAGTAACAGAAGAACATGGAACAAGTGTGTACCGCCTTTTACAAGATGAATCTTGAACGAGTGGGAATTAAAATCGTATCAATGGTAAGAAAAATATTAGGCAAAATGATTCGAAAAGTAGGAATGCGTTAGCATTATAAAAAAATGTGAAGTAATTTCTAAATAAGAAAGATCAGTTCAGCGACGAGTTCTCTTTTCGGCGAATTCATTTTTAAAAATGAATTCGCCGAAAAGAGAACTCGTCGCTGAACTAATCTTTCTTATTTAATGTCTTAATAATTTCCAAACTGAGGATATATGAGTTATGCGAGGTAAATGCATCTCTACTTATCTTGAATCATGTTTCTCGGCGTCTCCAGCGACTGATCTTCGGTATTGCGCGTCAAATAGTCTGAACCTATAAACACGGCCAAAAGCAATAGTAAATTATACCACAGACTAATATCGCCTACATCAGTAAACATCTGGAGTAGAAATAGGCGTTGATTGAGTCTATTCAAGACATATCTCAAAAAACTCGGTGGATGAAGGTTCAAAGTCTTATCAGCCGAATTCCTTTTTAGGTTTGGTACCCTATGTTTAATCTTAGCACCATCGTATGTGAGCGATGCATCGCAGATACCAATATTTAAATATACTAAACGGCATATTTCACAGCTATATATTACAAGATTCCAACTAATGAGGCAAACAAAGTATTTAGTCGATAAGGTTCAATTTTATGCTTAATTCATCGTTCTACTTTTTACTCATGAATTTATCCTGTCACAAAACATGCAAGCCATCAGTTTGACCACCCGAATCATTACTTGCATGTATGAATAATAAGGCTGAAAAAAAGCGACACTGATTCCACAAATGAAAAATAATAAGTGACTATATCAACAAATTTCACAAAACTAAGCTTTACTTATGATATGAAGATAAATGTTTTATTCACTGTGATTGAAATAAATCTTACTCATTGATTGAGTAATACAGTTATGTAGTCAAAACGTAGCTACAGTAATTGTTTTACAATACTTCGGTTAATTTTTTTACATAAATATATAGCAATATTCATCAGAGTTGCAAAGAATCTGTTTCATACTCAAGCATTTTCTTCTGACATTCGTTCCAAATGACTGTTTTGAAAGAATGGCGGTTAAATCCATTAAATTAGACGTAACTAAATCATGCTTATTGATCGAATCGTTTACATAAATTGGCTTTGATGCACTGGAATCTAAAATCTTAAAGGATCAGGTTTGACATCATACTTTAATTACGTAATTGAACATATGGTGAGACTATAATTTATGGACAACCTTCGAGCGTTGCCAAAGTGACCTTGAGAGTGTTCACCTAATAACTAGGATCGCATGAGGATTAGAAACCAGTGTGAGAAGTTGGAATTTTGTTTTACAGTTGACGGTTAGGTTAAGGCATTACATTTAGAGTATTCACCACGAACTGACATATGCTATAATGCCAAAACTCCATTTAGCCAAATGGATGAATGAATTTCGTGCCAAAATCCTAGACCTGTTAAGATATATCTGATTGGTTTGTTCATAAATTAGAGTGCGCCGAACATGTTAGTGTCTGTGATTGCATTGTACAGTCTACCCATTTTTACAAATAAAAAATAGTGAATAACTATCGGTTGAGAAAGCCATCAAAAGTATTTGTTTACAACTCCACACCGGTATTCTGGAGAGTTATGGAGGATATAAATATAAATATATATATATATAAGCTATCAACTTTTCAAATAAGTTTCACGATCTCAACCGTTAAAATTACCATAATATCCACAAAAACCCTTCTGATATTAATCAATATATGCTCACTAGTAACTGGCTTCAAGAGGTATTTCACGGAGTTCTAATGAGAAGCAGTGACCAGTGGACGTCAACCAGGTCTGTTGTGAGATAGTAACTCACTGAACACGATGGTGGATGTATCGCTTAATTCCGTGAATTAGTTGAAGTTAGGCATTAACACCGTTGGATGCCGAATCAGTGGTCTAGAGGTTAAGTGCTCACGCGCGAGACCGATATATCCTGGGTTCGAATCCGGCGAGGCTTGATCGTGGATGTGCACTGCTGAGGGGTCCTACAATAGGACGACATGGCCGTTCAGTTCTTCCACGTTTTCCATAATGGTCTAGCTTCAATTGACTCATGATCTCAACCGTTGAAGTAAGTTTCATTCAAAATAAACTCGATTAAACAAAATGAGTCATTAAGCAGTATTTAATATCATAATAAACAAATCTTTCAAAAATTATAAAACCATATGCAAAATAGACTATGGTTGAAAGTGCAGTCTAAATTTATTTATCTTTCCAATCTATATCAAGATTTGTAGATTTTATACTGTTTTGTGTCATCAGAATGAACTTACGACGAAATCTATAAAAAACAGTTAATCAAATACTATATACTTTCTTGATGAAAATCAATGTCAAAATTTTCATGTTAACGATTTAATAATCTAATAGAGAGTGAATCTTTCAAATTATCTTCTCATCAACATGAAGATATGATGTATATGAATTCATAATAAACACCTTCTAAACTTACAATGTTAGGTATCGCAAATCTATTTCATTAAAACAAATATAACAGATAAATTCATTTCTAATCCATATATATATGTATATGTATATATTATTGATATACAATTTAGTAAATACATTGACATTATTTTCTTTATTATGTCAGAATTCTTTTCAGTACTATTTTGCACAATATTCATTCAGTAAATATGAGAAGAAGAAGGAGAAGAAAACAAATGAAATGATTGAATCATGTACAATTACTTTTCAATGATCATTTAAACAATGTTGAATTTCAATTGGAATATCTACTTCTATTCGTATATAGACATATAGATATTACTTATAATGATGATTATTACTTTTTCTATTCTGGGCAAATGGTTTAAAACATTTTGTTTTGTTTTTTTTAGAAAAAAGAATGTTGTAAAAATTGAACATCGCAAAGATCTAATATAATGAAATGGAATACAATGTCTTATGTACCATTATCCTATTAATAATGAAATTATAATGAAAAATATAACAATCAATAATTTACTTACCAATGAACGATATATAAAGACATATAAATCAACAATAGTTCACTAAAATAAAATGGTAGAAAATCACTATCCGGATATATAAAGAGAAATGTAAAAGGAAAGAAAAAAACAAGACAAATGATACATTTGGATGGATCAATATAATTTATCGAATGATTTTAATTATCATTTAATATAAAGGAAAAGAAAAAGAAAAAACAAACAAATAGAACGAACTAGTTTATGAGAATGTTTTTTCCATTTGTTATTTAACACATAGATACTTACAAATTAAACAAATAAAGAAGAAGATAGTATTCATTAGATGAGTTAGTTACTATGGCAATTACACAAGTTACTAACAAAAAAGAAAGGAAAAAAATGTGAAGAATCAATGGGAGAGATTAAAATAGAGAGAAGGGGGGAGAAAAGAGATTCTCTTTATGCTATATTTCAATGAATTAAAAGTTGAAAATAATTAATTGACTATTATTTCACTTTATAAATTATCATTTATAATGATCTTATACTTGTATCGATGTATTTCATAATTAAATCCAAATATAATTATTCTTCATTTATCTGAATTTGAAAGAAATTATGAATTATTGTTTGTTATCACTTTTTTTATTTTAATGAACATACATGAGATAAATTGGAAGGAAAGAAATGAATATTAACTTGGAATAAACTAAATTTTCTTTATGGTGATAATTAGAATGTCAACAATTGAATGATTTTCCTTTAATTTAAATTGATATTTATGATGTATATGTGTTAGAATATTTCGATTAGTTATTTATTAAATTAAATCTTCTTCAGCAGATTCAGTTTTTTGACTGGTGGTAAATGTACGTGAAGTGGTTAGTTGTGATTGATTTTCTCTTGGTGGTGGGGGAGGGGGTTCTGTCATACGTTTAATTTCATCATTACCTATAGTACTTAGTACACTATCATTTCTAGAAGTTGAACTTCCATTATTTCCACTGAAATTTTGATGGAATAAACTCAATAGGTCAATAGGTAGGGGGAAAATGATGGTAGAATTTTTCTCATCTGAAATACTGCTTAATGTTTGTAAATAACGTAATTGAAGCGCGATGGGACATTCACCAATTTCCATAGCAGCAGCTTTTAAAGCTACTGATGCACGTTGTTCACCTTCAGCAGCAATTACTTTAGCTTTGGCCTCTCGAGCTGCCTCTGCTTCAGCTGCCATAGCACGCTGTAACTGAATAGGTAAACGAACATCTTTTATATCAACACGTTCAACCTTTACTCCCCATGTCTCTGTTGCTGTATCTAGACAATCTTGCATTAAATGAGCAATTTGTTCACGCGCTGTTAGAAGTTGGTACAAATCCACTGTACCAAGGACATTTCTTAATGTAGTCTGAGCTAGAAGACGAGTGGATCGATTAGCATCTTCCACGTTGACAACTGACATCACTGGATCGAATATGCGATAGTAGACAACAGCATCGACAGCGACAGTCACTGAATCTTTTGTTAAAACCTCTTGAGTTGGTACATTGAATGTGAATGTACGTAAGTCTATTGTTTTGACATTGTCCAAACAAGGTAAAATGAATACAAGACCGGGTCCTTTAGGAATTTCTGATACTAATCTTCCAAGGCGAAATACGACAGCTCGTTCATATTGTGCAATCACTTTGAGACACATAAATAGGGAAAATGGTAAGGTTAACAGTGCAGCTAGATAAGCTAAAAGCTGCATCGCAGCCTCACAACCAAACATTCCTTTGTTGCCTTGACGTTTATAGGATCCTCTTTTGCCCAGACGTTCAGGGACAAGCGAAAATCCACGCGCCAATGTTGGCATTGAAGCTGGAACACGCAACTGGGTTGATTCATTAGCATGATCTGAAACATTTCCTGATCTTTCATTTTCGCGGTCTACTTGATAGCCAGTTAGGGCTGGTGGTTTACGTGCATTAGTGTCCATCCCCCCTGGATTTGTATTTTGTGTATCTGAAGCAAATGAAACCGAAGGCATATTTTAAAGTCACAATTAGAAGCTGTTAAATGTTTATCAGATTCTTTGAATATCAACAATCTGTATTTATACAGTGCATTTGACAAGTTTTGCAATTCATTTAACAGTTAGTAGTACTGTCCAGAACATTTGAACAATTTAGTACACTTTATTCACGTACAAGAATGATTTTGTATGATACTCATGTGTGTATGTCACGATCTTTGTAACCTTCATACATTCTTCCATCATAGTTAAATTTGTCCTATCGATTTAATAGGAATAACTAGTTTATTGACCAATCAATTCATTGGGATAAATGTTAGAATAGTTAGCTGACTATCCTCATATGTCCGTCTAACAATCAGTATGTTAACTGTAAAGTTGGTAACCAATGCAAGCCTTAGTTTACATTTATTGTCAAATGGAAACTCAAATTGCAAATTATGTAAGCTTAATTATACTGTTTTTTGAGAGATGATTTATGGGATAATCCATCAAAACGATAAGATTAGCTATTATTACGTTAGGTGTTATAAAAGTATAAAATGTTAGTTTCAGTAGTTAACATAAAATTAATGGCTAAGCTACTAAATCAATTCTATTATTATGAAGGAATTATTTATCCATACGACTATTTGAGAATTCAACTGGACAATAATTATACTCGAAATATATTAAATCTCTATATAAAATAGGTAAATGGATGAACGTTTCGTCTTATTTGGGATTGGTCAGATGGATATAATCGTTACACAAGTGAATAGCTACCTGGAATTATGAATTAAGTTAATAACGCGTCGGCGTTTGAAACGAAAGGTATTGAGTCCGAATCTCGAAGTGGACATCAACTCTGGAATATCAGTATATCCAGCTGACAAGTCCTAAATAAGGGGAAACGCTCATCTTGGATTCCACTCATAGTCACATTTCATCCATTTTACACAGACTTATGTCATAACTGTACATAGGGTAATCTGCAAACGACCCACATATGGCAACTACGACTAATGAAATTCTAATCAAGATATCAACGACAAGATAATTCAAATCGTACCAAATCAAATATATTACAACTATTTAAGCGTAGTTTCAGTATCAGTCAAACGTATTTTCAAAATAACTCAAGAAAGAATCATCTATAATTTCACCAATATGTAGATAACATCAATAGGTCAAGTAATATTTTTTATATTTTCAACATAAAGTATAGATTACTGATTATAGCATAGAATGAAATATTTTTAAAAAAACACAAGGAAAAACTCTTTTTTCTAAGGCTGTATCAGTTACTGTACCTTTATGGACGGCCTGTGGGCGACACTAAACTGACCTTGAGAATGTCCACCTACTAACTAGGATTGAATAATGGTTAGAAACCAGTGTGAGGAATTACAATTATGATTTACAGTTGATGGTTAGTTAAGAATTAAATTTTGGGGTTTTACATCACGAACTGACATCAGCTTAAATGTCAAAACTCTATTTAGCCAAATGGATGAGTGAATTTCGTGCCAAAATCCTAGACCTGTTATCGTAAATTTGATTGGTTCGTTCATAAATGATAGTCACGCCGAAATATCTGTTAAATAATCGCCACAAAACAACATAAATGATCCACTTTTTTTAGTTCTTTTCCCATTATATTTTAGAAATAGGATGTCTTTCTAGTGAACGAGCATAACAGTAGCCATGGTGTGGCATACCCACTGACAATGAACTTAATTAACCTAGGTAAAACTGCCCACTCTTTTTTCAAGCTTGAAAAAAGTGTGATGAATTTTAGAAATAAACCAGTGTGAACCATTCATGCACCTCATTGTGAAACATATTAAGATAATGAAGTGAAATGAAGTTTATCAGAACTATGTAACATATTAATTCAAAACACCTTGAATAGTCCAACCACACATATACTTGTTAAGATGTTTGTAAATGATTAAAGTTCGAACTAGGCAAATTATAAGGTCAGAAAAAGTATTCATAATAAGGAGAACAGTAAGAGTCACATCACTCTGGATAATAAATCAGTGTTATCGGAACAGGTTCAAAGAAGAACTAACTGTTTTTAAACACATAAATGGAACTTGAATCTCCATGTCACAAAAGCTTTCGTGAATCTTAGCATTTTCACCTACACACTTTTGCACAATGTTGAAAAAAGCTGATTTGTTACCATCCCTGTGGCCCATCTCAACTAAATAACCTTTAATGATGAAGATATTTGTTTAGTATGTATTCTTATTAGATAATTGAAATTCATTAGTTTTTGTAACCAGTTGGATATACTTTCAGATATCCGTATATATGGATTGCGATCTCTGTTCTCTATTTACTTGTTCACTTGTGAAATTAAAATGATAAATGCACTGGTATATACTTACATGCTTTTACGGTTTTTAGTGAAGCGTGGAACTTGACAACCCAACAGGGACAAGTAGGCTGTGTAACAGTTCTACTGATTGGTAATTTAGGTCTTTGTTTCAATGCAAAACTAGTTCACTTACTTCTGAATGACAATGTAATGGAAACACTTTTTTGATTACTGAAAGCATAGTGAAAATATGTTACCACCTTTCCATCAATTTGTGATCTTTGGAGAATATCTTCTCAATCCTTCGACTGATAGATTTATTGTTCCCTAGTGGTACTGTCTGTTTAAACATTTAGTTTTACTGAATGATAACTTTTCGTGTGAAATGACTCGAGAAATAAGGATGAAATTCCAAATATTATGACTTACTTATTTCACGAAGGTGAAAATATCAAGAATTTTATGAACTTCAAACAGACAATAATGAATAAGTTTAAAAATTTAATAGTTGAGTTCATGAGCCATTTGAATCTAGACCATCATGGAAAAGCTGGAAGTACAAGACGGCCGTTTCGTCCTACTGTGGGACTCCCCAGCAATGCGCATCCATGATTCCGCCTCGCGAGATTCCAACCCAGGACCTATCAGTCTCGTGAGGGAGCGCTTGACTATTAGACCACTGATCCGGCATCCAACGGTGTTAATGTCTAACTTCAACCAATCCACGAAATCCAGCCACCGTCCACCATTGTGTTGAGTGAGTTACTATCTCACAACTGACCTGGTTGAACTCCACTGGCCGTTCAATGTTTCCAGGTTTTCCATTATTATTATTATTATTATTATTATTATTATTATTATTATTATTATTATTATTATTAGCTTTATTCAATATTATATTATGGATACAATATAGAATTCTCAGCGCAAAGTATTTCAACAGGTTTCCGTTTCTTTCTTCCTGGTCGGTCCTGGCGATAAATATTGAGTGATCGCCAGTTAGATGTTAGCAGTCCAGTAAATGAACATCTGAATAATGTACATTCTTTTCGTTGTATATTGCCAGCAACCACATTCTCTCTTTTTGAGCTTTTTGTAACTTTGACAACGAAAGGTTGTACACTTTTCAGAAACGCAGCAGAATAGGTTATGCGATTAATAAACATAATGATATATTAAAACAAACAAAAATAGATAGCTTGTTGAAATATTTAGATGGTAGGGACAGGTAGCCCAGATGCTCAAGCAGGCCGCCTAGTCTAGTTTCAGTAAACTCATGAATTTAACTAATAAATGACTATAATATCCAAAAAACACCTATGTGATTATATGTTTATAAATGTTGATTGAGCTTTAAAGTTGTAGCTGTTAAAATATTATATGTTATCATACATATGTAAGTACATATCGTATTTCATGATAAATAAAAGAATGATTTTGAAAGAAAAACACACACAAGTTAGAAACTGAACACTCTTATTATAGATTACAATTATTTAAAAATGCTAACTCCCAATTAAACAATAATGTGTATTTCATTGAAATTATGAACCGATCTAAGTTAGACCACCAATGTGTTTTCAGGTTTTTACTGGTTGTCTAACTTAGATTGGTTCATAATTTCAATGAAATTCAACAATCATCACAACCCTTTCCTGACGATAAATTAAAACAGAACTATGGGTGTATATGACTTATGAATTGATGGCTTTTGAAAGTTTCAATTAGTGAAGAAAAATTTCCTATTTTTCAAAATGATCAGATAATGATTCCGTGTTTCTTCATTAAATTTACATATTTACAGTCTACAATGAAATATTGATTATTTCAGGTCATTAATTAACCTTACTTGAGTTTCCTTTTATTTATTACATAAAAGATACTCAATTCATTTTATTCAACTTTGTTATAATGACTCACTCAACTTCTAGGTGGTTTTAAAATAAACGAATAGATAAATCAGACTGCACGTATAAAGGATATTCAATGATACAGCCAAGAAATACAAGAAAGTAAAGAACTAATGACAATATTTGTGGAATCACATCGCTATCTGGAATCATTTACATCATGAATTGATTTTAGTTAGAGACCTATTGAATATAATGAAGATTGTAGTTCCATCTTGAAATAGGTGTTTAGTGGCCCTAAATCTGATTCGTATTTGATCGTATGTTGATTGCTATCGAAATATATATATGTCGTCAATCCTTGTAAATAATCATCGACTTGAATAGCGTTAGCGAATAACGGAATTAAACAAGACAGACACGAGAATGGATGCTTGAAAACGCATATTTCGTATACTCATTGATCTGGACAGACAATCAGCGAGATAAAGAGAAGAGAAGAAAGCGAAGTGAAATGCGCACAGTGGAGAAGGCATGTGAGCCACGTTAATTTAGCAAAGTGTTAATCAATATTTATAGTCTATAAGCTATAGATATGTGATGAGTAAGATAAGAGATACACACGCACACGCTTACATAAAAACAGTTAAGGTTGATAAACGAATACTTGATAAGGTCAAAATGTAGCTTGAGAAGACTGGATATACTGGTTTGTCCAGAAGCTAGAATAAGCTATGTGGGCTTAACATAACAACTGACACTACAGATCCTCATAGTAGTATACAATAACTGCCGTACCACGTATCGAAACCAGAAGATTTATGCTACACATCAGGGGCATTACTTTTAGACCTGTGAGAGTTAACTGGCTTAAAGTGATGGTTTAATGTCCTGACTCAAATATCAGTAGGATTGTGGTCCCAAACATCTCATTGTTCCTCAGTTTTCACTAGTTGTGCATTTGAAGTCGCATCACAATTGAAAGTATCCTAAAGTTAAATAGTCCACTCAAAACTCGCATTCTGGTAATATCTAGATGAAACCTAATGACGTCCCTTGGAATTCCACATGCACGAAATCAT